TAGTAAACATGTAGTAAACTGTAGCTAACATGTAGTAATCTGTAGTAAACTGTATCTAATTGTAGTAGAGTGTAGTTAACTGTATACAAATGTAGTCAAGTGTAGTCAAGTGTAGTCAAGTGTAGTTAACTGTAGTTACTGTATGTAGTTCAGTGTATTAAACTGTAGTAAACGGTATCTAACTATAGTAAACTGTAGTAAACTGTAGCAAACATGTAGTAAACTGTATCTAACTGTAGCTAACTATAGTAAACTGTAGTAAACTGTATCTAACTGCAGTAAACTGTAGTAAACTGTTGTAAACTGTAGTAAACGGTATCTAACTATAGTAAACTGTAGTAAACATGTAGTAAACTAACTGTAGTTAACTGTATACAAATGTACTCAACTGTAGTAAAGTGTAGTCGAGTGTAGTTAACTGTAGTTACTGTATGTAGTTCAGTGTATTAAACTGTAGTAAAGTGTATTAAACTGTAGTTCAGTGTATTAAACTGTAGTAAAGTGTATTAAACTGTAGTTCAGTGTATTAAACTGTAGTAAAGTGTATTAAACTGTAGTAAAGTGTATTAAACTGTNAGTGTATTAAACTGTAGTAAAGTGTATTAAACTGTAGTTCAGTGTATTAAACTGTAGTAAAGTGTGACCCTCTGTTAACTGCGGATCATTGATGGATTGTCAGATCATTGATAACTGGAGGAAGCAGATGAGCAGGAATCTGATCAGATATCGATCACAGTGATTGACAGTGATTGACAGTGATTGACAGTGATTGACAGTGTTATTGATGAGTGTGGCTGACAGGAGACAAACTTACCTTCTTCTGCTCCGCAGCAGCTCAGCAGCAGCAGCGGGAGGAGCAGCAGCTGCAGCCCGCAGGAGGAGGCCTGTGCCCGGGCCACGGGACCCTCCATCCGGCCCTGTCCCACCAGATCCAGATCCGAGCACACGGTCCCCGCGTCGATCACCGATCACCGATCGATCACTGCTCGTCAGCTGGGCTCGCTCTCGATCGGCTGCGCGCGCCTCATTGGACCCAGCAAGTTTAAAGGAACTTTTTCCAGATCGATCCGCGGAGGGAGACACACCGAGAGCAGGAGAGCTTCGGTCCCGGCAGCGGGACTCCTCCGGGACCGAGCGGGGCGCGGCTGCCTCCTGGTCGGGAGAGGGGCTCCGAGAGGCGGCCTGCAGAGCGGAGAGGAGTCGGTGGGTGGACCGGAGGACGGAGCGGGTGCTAGTGGTGGTGAGAGGGGTCTGAGTGTCCCGGTGGGTCTCCGTGTGTCTCAGTTTGTCTCAGTTACTTTCTAAGTCTCTGTCTCTCTGTGTCTCTGTCTCTCTCTGTGTCTCTGTCTCTCTGTGTCTCTGTCTCTCTGTGTCTCTGTGTCTCTGTCTCTCTCTGTGTCTCTGTCTCTCTGTGTCTTTGTGTGTCTGGAGGAAAGTTTGGACAAAAGCTGCGGAGTCGGACACAAGTTTTCTGGCCCCACCCCCCACACAGAGACCACACCCCACTGACTGTGATTGGTTGAGGGATCACTTCCTGTTTATTATAATTCAGATTCAGAAATACTTAATAATTAATCAATTATTCTCCGGAGGGAAATTCTAATTCAAATATTAGCATTAGTAGCATTAATAATACTAGAAGTAATATTTTGAATCTGTGTTTCACTGTGTGTAAATCTGTGTGTGTGTTTCTAGTGTAATGTGTGTATGTGTGTAGTGTGTGTGTGTGCAGTGTGTGTTTGTAGTGTAGTGTGTATGGTGTGTGTGTGTGTAATCTGTGTGTGTGTTTCTAGTGTAATGTGTGTATGTGTGTAGTGTGTGTGTGTGTAGTGTGTGTTTGTAGTGTAGTGTGTGTGGTGTGTGTGTGTAATCTGTGTGTGTGTTTCTAGTGTAATGTGTGTGTAGTCTATGTGTGTACTGTAGTGTTGTGTGTGTGGTGTGTAGTGTGTGTTAAATTTCACACCTGAAGTTTCATTCACACGGTCACTGGGCGAGAGACATTATGTCAGAACAGAGAGAGAAAGAGAGACAATGATGTCATATCAGATGAAAGGTGTCACCCCCCCCAAGAGAATAAAAGACCAGGGTCAGGTATCAACCCCCCCCTCCTCCTCACACCTCCTCCCTGTGTTCTGTTCTTTTATTTGTTTTCAGAGGAGAGAGGGAGAGAGAGAGAGACAGAGGGAGAGAGAGACAGAGGGGAGGAGAGAGACAGAGGGAGAGAGAGAGAGTGAAGGGGAGAGAGGGCGAGAGAGCGCAGGAGGGATGGATAAATGTGAAGTGAGTAAAAGTGAAGGAACAGAGGTGGATTGTGGGAAACTGTCACCTGTTTGTGAAATTTAAAAAAAAAGAGAGAGAACGACAGGAAGAGAGGAAGAGAGGGGTTTGACAGACAGGTGATAACCCTGCCCCCAATCACAGAAAAGTAAAACACAGGCAGACAGACAGGCAGACAGACAGTCAGGTAACAGACAGACAGACAGGTGTGGAAGTGATGAGGATGAAAGAGTAAAACTACTCTTCACCATCACTGTCAGTTTATCTTGATTTGATATTTCTTTTAACTTGTACATGAAGTTTTACTCTCTGGAATTGTACATGTTAGTCTATTCACAAGTTTGTACAGCTTCAGTTAATTATCTTTAAATGTGTACTTATATTTGGCTTCAATACTCTCCCTTGGTTACTTGTGATGTTCAATCAATTTATGCAAATATTTGTGTTGTCAGTGTCTCCATTAGTACATACTTCTGTACAGTGACAGCTCTGTAGTACTTCTTTCCTCTCACTGCAGTGAACTTCTTATTTGGACCTTTTGTTCTTATTCTCTTGAGTTTGACTGTTTACTTTGATAAAGTATCGATCTATGTATTTATCCAATTACTGTCGACACCTGCTGGACACTGTGGGAACTACAGTGTTAGATTAACATCAATAACTAATATTAATAATTACTCAGAAAAGAGTGCCAGACAAGAACCTTCAAAATGAAATATTTCTCATCTTCAGTCATGAACTGAGACTGATGCTAAACCTTAGACAGGATGTTAAGTCAAGGTTCTGTAGGATCCTCGCGTTCTCCAGGTTCTGTAGGATCCTCACGTTCTCCAGGTTCTGTAGGATCCTCCCGTTCTCCAGGTTTGCAGAGTGAGCGTTGGTAGACGTCTGTGTTTTCACGATTGTTTGATGAAATGGATGTCTCACCTTGTTAAAGCGCTATGAGACAGATTGTGATTTGTGGATTTGATTGATTGAAATGTGATGAAATCAAAAATCAATTATGACTCAGACCAATCAATCGAGTTCACAGTGAAAACAGACCCACAAAGACAGATTCAAAAAACACTTTATTAACACAACAGAGAGGACAAGTTAACACAGCATTGTCACAGTGTGTGTGTGTGTTCAGTGTGTAGAGAATCGGGGCAGCTGATTTCCCAGGATGACCCGTCTCTCCACGCCCTCCTCTGAGATGCTCGCCAGTCTGACCACACCCCCGCTGGATCCGTCTCTCTCCATCGCCAGAGACAGAGCTGTAGGACAGAGACGGACAGGTGAGACGTAGTAACACCTGTGTGAATATTCCAGTGTGTGTGTGGGGGGGGGGCTCCCATCATGCCTTGTAGCTGTACCTGTAGCAGTGAGCTCCAGACACTGGTCTTTGCTCAGTCCAGGTTTGTAGTTTGAGTCCATGAAGCCGTAGATGTAGGTACTGCCGCTGCCGCCCACAGACAACGGCTGCCTCACCAACATCCCACCAATGGGGACGCAGTACACCTGAGGGACAGACAGGTCACACACAGACAGAAAGACAGACAGGTACATCAATTGAGTGTGTGTGTCTCTCTCTGTTCAGACTCCTTCACAACAAATCATCTGCCGGATTCAAGTGAGAGGTGGAACAGGAAGTGACGTGTGTGTGTGTGTGTGTGTGTGTGTGTGTGTGTGTGTGTGTATACACTACCTGCCCCCCCTTCCTGCGGTCCCACCCGGCCACCAGTATCCCAGCAGACAGCTCTTCTCTGTAGCGGTAGCAGCTCGCTCTGAACAGATTAGCTGCTGTCTCCACCAATGGGGGCTCATCCAGCTCGATGCTGGGGGTGAGACAACATTAAACACAACTGACTGGACAGTGAGGCTGTCAATCAAACGGAGCGGCGTCTAACCTGTGGAAGCCCAGCTGGTAGGTGACCACGTCAGCGATGGCCTGAGTGTCAGCGGCCGATCCAGACCTGCAACACAGCAGAGAACACATGATGATGGGTTCCTCACAAATTTCTACCTGTTCCCATGAAAAGATTCTGCATCCAAGTAAAGCTGAAGGTTCTGGGTCGGACTGAGTTGATGCCGACCTGCAGCAGAAGATCCGGTCGTGGATCGGAGTCAGTTTGTCTGTAACTCTGTTAGCGATGTAGGCTCTGATAGACAGACAGGTACAGACAGAGACAGAGAGAGAGAGAGAGAGACAGGTTAAACGGAGTGTTTACTACAAACACAATGAGTCGAGGGCACATGTTTTGTTTTTCTTACCCTGTGGTTGTACGAGAGTCCGCACCAATCACCACTCCTCCATCATACTCCACCGCCATGATGGTTGTCTGAGAGACAGACAGAGAGACAGACAGACAGAGAGAGAGAGACAGAGAGAGAGAGACAGAGAGAGAGACAGGTTCAGACAGACTTAGGTCAAATAAGAACAAACCCCCGGACTCAATAGAAACTCAGTCTAATCTACATTACACCTCAAAGTTTGACTGATGACAGTGAACTAACTCTCTGTGTTGCTGTTAGCATTTGTAGCTCATATCGTTATTTGAAGTAAGTTTCATTGACCCGAACAGAACCAGAGTTAGCCGCTGTTAGCCGCTGTTAGCCGCTGTTAGCCGCTGTTAGCCGCTGTTAGCCGCTGTTAGCCGCTGTTAGCCGCTGTTAGCCGCTGTTAGCCGCTGCAGAAGTGCTGTCTCACTCAGGCTCTGTTAGCTGTTTAAAAACCTCTGGACCGGGACTGAACCTGGTCCGGTTCGGTCTGACCCGGTCCCTCGGCCCCTGCACTCACCCCGGTGCTGACTTCCTGGCTGGTCCAGTCCGGAACCAGGTCGTTTTTAGAAAATAATTTCTGCCCCGACTCCAGCATCATTGTCGCTGCTGCCGCCATCTTGTCCCTGTCTACGAGCGGAAGTGAGGAGGCGCCGGATTTACACAGTGAGCGGAGTTTAATGGTTATTAATGAAATCACAAACAAACCCTGTTTAATCACATTTCACATTTGATGACATCATTGACGCGTGTGTGAAAAACTCCAAAGTAAATGTATTAAAGCGTAGAAAGGAGTTGTTGTCAGGCATGTGAGCGGACAGCTCTGCAGCGGGGTCCTGCTGGAAACAGGAAGAGAAGGTAAACACCGCAGGACGACAGTGTCTGATCCACTTCAACTTCAAAGGCTGAAATCAAAGGTTGAAATCAAAGGGTTTACAGCAGATTGTGGTTTAATGCGTTAGAAATGATTTAAAGAAGAACGCGTGACATGTAAATGACGTTTTATCACATTATTGTCCGGTTTCTCTTCCGCCTGATCCCGACAACCAGACATGTCTGATTTACCTGAACTGTTAATAGATCATACATGTTGACTAAATAGAAGAACGTTGGAAACAGTTTCACACTGTATGGGGAGCAGTTAAATATGAGACAGCGAGATGATATTTAAAGTTAGTTATATAGTTATATATATATATGTGTGTGTGTGAGTGAGAGAGAGCGTGAACGGTGCTTAATGACCTGTCAATGGAATGTTACTTTCAGATGACCGTTCACAACCTGTACATATTCGACCGGAATGGAAACTGTCTGTTTTATAACGAGTGGAACCGGAAGAAGCAGGCGGGGATCTCCAAGGAAGAGGTGAGAGGGCCGAAGAAGAACCAGAGGAAGAACTCGAACATCATCACACAAACCACACTCACAAATATATTGTTTTCAAATGTCTCTGGGAAATCAGAACATTTAAGGAGTTCGTCTCTGAATTGTGTAATCCTGTCAACCCTCTAACAAACAGACAAACGGACAGGGGTGATAACATACCCTCTATTAAAATGTCTGTCTCTCGGTCTGTCTGCAGGAGTTCAAGCTGATGTATGGGATGCTCTTCTCCATCCGCTCATTTGTCAGTAAGATGTCTCCTCTGGACATGTATCCTTTACAGCGCCTGTCTGTCTCTACCTGTCTGTCTCTACCTGTCTGTCTCTACCTGTCTGTCTTTGGTCCTTAGCAGTCTGTCTGTCCTCAGGAAGGATGGCTTCTTGTCCTTTCAGACCAGTAAATATCGTCTTCATTACTACGAGACGCCCAGTGGACTGAAGTTTGTCCTGAACACAGACCTGTCTGTGAGCAATGCCAGAGACACACTGCAACACATCTACAGCAATGTAAGGCACGCACACACAAACACACACACAAACACACACACACACTTACTGCTGTTCAATATGTTGAAAAAACACGTTCATTCATAAAAAAGTGAGAAACAATAAACAAGTGATTTATTACATGTCAAATATGTGGATTCATTTTTTACTCACAATATAAATAAAAAGTCTCTTTAGTTTCTTGATATTTTAACACAATTTGATCAAAAGTGTCTTTTATTCATGAACATTGTGACTTTTTCCTAAAAATATGATTTAGGATTTTTTTCTTCATCTTTTGTAGAATGTTTTTGTCTTCAACTTCTTTTGAAATATAGTTTTCTCTTGAGCTGTTTTCACACATGAACGTCTCCAGACTTCAGTTCATGTCTGAGTCCAGCTTCTGTGTTATCCAGTGCTTTTATTGTGAAGGATCTAACATCTCATCTATGTGTGTGTCAGTTGTATGTGGAGCACATCGTGAAGAACCCGGTGTGTGTGTTGGGCCACAGTTTGGACAGTGAACTATTCAGCAGTCGACTGGATGCCTTCATCAGAGCACTGCCGTACTACAGCCCCCGAGCTGCCTGACATGTACACACACACACACACACACACACACACACACACACACACACACACACACACACACACATATAGCTGAATTGTTTTTATTGGGAACATGAATCAAACTGTTGTGTTGTTGTATTGTATCTTCATCATGTGTAACTGTAATTAAACTGATGTAGAAACATCTCTGTCGATTTCATCAATAAGTGAACAGTTGAGTCAGTGGGAGACGACCAGTTACCCAGGGCAGCGTCCCTTAAACCAGGTTAACTCCCGTTAAACCAGGTTAACTCCCGTTAAACAGGGTTTTTTCTGTTGTCTCTCCACTCGTGTCACATGACTTGTGTCACATGTCTAATTAATGTGTTAATTACATAACAAACGTGTGACCTGTTGACCTCAAAGTTAACGGTGATTAAAGCTCGTTAACAGCTGAGTCACATGACCTCACAGCGTCCTTCAAACAGTGTAAACAGCAGATGGTCGTGATGCTCGTCAGCTGTTAGCGAGTCAGCGTCACGTCATTCAACCACTCAATATCTATACTGTGAATATACATGTATATACACCATGCTGTATACTATATACAGTATACAAAGACTCTGTGTACATATTAACACATTTATACAAAGTGCGGACATTTACAAATTCTGGACATATTTATGGTGAGGACGTTTTGCATTAACATCAAAACTTAAAAAGGTTGTTGTACATTTTAAATTCACATTAGAAAGTGTGTGTGTGTGTGTGTGTGTTCAGACAGTGTAATCTCTGTGGCAACATAATCTTTAATCCCGCTGAACAACATACTGCCAACCAGCAACACACACACACTACATCTGAAATGTTACTGTCATTCAATCCATGCAGGAAAAGAAAAAACAAACTGTGTGACGTGTTCAGGTGCGTGTGTGTGACGTGTTCAGGTGTGTGTGTGTGACGTGTTCAGGTG